GGGCACGAGGGGCAGCCCCTGGCGTCGGGGGTCTCACAGGTCACCCCACGCTGCTGTGGGGCGCAGGGGCACGGGGACACCCCGGACACCCTTATTGCCATGGGTCACGCGGGGCCAGAGACACCTCACTTCGCTGTGGGCAGTGCTCCCATGGTCCTGTTCCCACAGGAAGCCCATCCTGTTCCCGCAGGGATCCCATCCCGTTCCCGCAGGAATCCTGTCCCATCCCCACGGAAATCCCAGCCGAGGGAGGACCCAGAGGTGGCAGCAGCCCTGGGGATGCGGGAGCTGCCTCCTCCCATCCCAGTCCCCAGCGGGTACCCTGGTCGGGTGCCGAGAGAGCGCAGCAGGGGGCAGTGTATTAAAACAAACAAACAAACAAAAAACCCCAAAACATCAAAAACCACCAAAAAGGGGCCCCCTGCGCGCTGAGCGGCCGCGGCGGGAGCCGTCCCTGTGCCCGTGTTTATGGACGTGACGCCCTCGGCCATCTGCTCCCAGCCCAGAGCAGCCGCCCAAGCACCCGGGGGGCAGCACCGGACCCTGCTCCCGCTTCCCCGCCGCGGGATCCCCCCGGATCGCAGCCGGGATCCCCACGTCCAGCAAACCCTCCTGGAAAACCCCATCCGGAGCAGAGCGCTCGAAGCCGCCCCGGCCGCTCCTGCCGCCGCGCGGCCCCGGGGACCTTGGCATTTGCGAGGGGTCGCGCTGCCCCGGCGGCGGCTCCGGGAGCTTTGCCGGGGATTCGCCCGCATCCGGCCCCGCTGTCCGTGAGCATCCGCGTGACGGATCAGGCTGCTCTAAGCCGCTTTCTCGGCGGTTTGGGGGTGTTTGCAGGCAGTGGGAGCCCTGATGTCCGGAGGGGGAACAGCCTCCTGCTGCAGCCAGGATTATCCTGGGGTTATTTCTCCGTTAATTCCCTCCTCTCCGCAGCACCAGCAGGGCAGAGGCATCACAGAAACGTCCCCCCGGCACCTCCCACTGCTCCCACAGCCCCTGTCGGGCTCGTTGCCAGATTCTCTCCTTTTTTGGCTCCGCGTCTCCGAGGGCGATTCCTGGCATTGGGCCCTGCTGGGACAACCTCCCGGGGCCAGGATGGAAACTCTGGGGGATTAAACCCCCCGTTCCCAGCTGCTGAATGCAGCATCAGCCAGTGTTTCTGTGGCGCATCCTCATTTTGGGATGAAAAGCAGGATAAAAACCCACCCCAAGGAGTGGTAATGATGCCCCAGCAGGGGATAAGGGTGCTATGAATATGGATAAGACATGAATATGGATGTGGGGTAAATATAGTGGGATGCACAGAGCTGCCTCCATTGCCCCTGTGCCCTTCACAAACAGCCTACGGGAAAAATAAATATTGTGTTTGCATGTCTATATATATATATATATATACACACACGTATATATGTATATACATGTATGCAAGCATATATACATATACACAAAAGCCTTGCGGGCATCCAACCCACCCCAGGGACCCAAAACACTGGTGGGAAGCAGGTACGGGAGCTCACCTGGAGAACCAGGGACCCAGAAACACCCACGGGAACTGGGCACGGAACTGCCCTGGGGAACGCGGTGCCCAAAACCACGCGTGGGCACCAGGCACCCGAACCCGGCGACAGGAACGGGGCACCCGTGGGAACCGGGCGCTCCGGCTGCACCGGGATGGGCCGGTCTCCTCTTGCCACCCCATGGATGGGCAGGGAACGTCACGTCACTGGTGTCTGCACACGGGGACGGCAGCATCCCCATGGGACGGGCCCAGAGAAGAGGGATCACGAAGGCAGAAAACAGGCCAGGAATCCTGCTGTTTCCCACCCATTGCTAAATGACACCCGGGGGCGAGAGCTATAAAAGCAGCTTTTCACCAAACTCTTTGGTCCCCACACGTGGGGGACCCCACTCCCCATGTAGGGACATGTGGGGATGCATGGGGACGTGTGGGGAAGTGTGGGCATCCGTGGGGAAGTGTGGGGGTATGTGGGGACTTATTGGGACACGTGGGGATGTGTGAAGACGTGTGCAGTCGTGTGGGGATGTGGTAGGACATGTGTGGAAGTGTGGGGATGTGTGGAGATGTGTGGGGACACGTGAGGATGTGTGAAAATATGTTGCAATGTGTGGGGACGCGTGGGGACGTGAGGGGATGTGTGGGGATGCATAGAGACCCGTGGGGATGTGTCAGGACATGTGGGGATGGGCTGGGACATGTGGGGACATGTGGGGCGCATGGGGATGCATGGAGACACGTGGGAACATGTGCAGATGTGTGGGGATGTGTAGGGATGTGTGGGGACCTGTGGGGATCTGTGGGGACATGTTGGGACACGTAGGGATGCGTGGGGATCTGTGAGGATGTGTGGGGATGCGTGGGGACGCATAGGAATGTGTGGGGGACATGTGGGTGTGCGTGAGGACACGTGGGTATGCGTGGGGACACATGGGGATGTGTGGGGATGCGTGGAGACCCATGGGAATGTGGTGGGATGCGCGTGGGACCGTGTTGGGACGTGTGGGGATTTGTGGGGATGTGTGGGGACCTGTGGGGATGCATGGGGACACATGGGGATACGTGGGGATGTATGGGGATCTGTGGGGATGCAGGGGGATACGTGGTGATCTGTGGGAACACGTGGGGACACGTGGGGATGTGTGGGGACGCATGGGGCATTTTTCCTGTCAGGCAGCAGCTTTTTATTGCACTTCTGGTGCGCGAGGCCTCGTGGTGGGGGAGCCACGTGGGGGCTCTGCCGGTGCCTCCGTGCGCAGGGGCCGCGTGGGAGCGAGACGTGGGGATGCAGAGATGCCCTCCCTGCCGCCGGCTTCGCCCCTCTGCTCCTGCCCGGGGCAATGCAGCCCCCGGGGCCCTGTGTCCC